AGAGTAGAAATTTTTTGGACATGGGGCTTGTTAATACCCTAGCCACATTTTGGACAAGGGTTTGTAAGATCACTAACAAATATATTGCAGTTTCTTCTAGCAACCCAAATAATGTTAATACCGTGAAATCAAATTAAATACGCGTGCAAGTAATTTTGAAACTACAAATTGTCATGCTTAAAAACCAAATCAAAATTACCTGTCATAGTGAAAGTTGTACCAAATTGGTGCAGGTAACTTGTGATCTTCATCTCCACTCCTATCCTGCATTGCTTCCTGGTTAGGCCAACGATTTGTTGCTCTTGTATCAATGGAGGAAAAGTAAAAATTTAGGCTATGTTTGGATTGCGTTTTAAAAAATAGTATCCGAAAACTGTTTTTAGTGTTTTTTGTGTAGCAAAACTTATTTGGGTATATGATTTCAAAAAAAAAAAAAACATTAAAATTTATTTGAACAGTAACACAGAAAATAATGAAAACAAAAATGTGGCGGTAGTGGTGTTGGTGGAAGGGTGGGGGTGGGTGGTAGTGGAAATGTGGACGTCGTGGTGGTGGTGGTGGGGTGAGATTGGTGGTGGTGGTGTTGGTGGAAGGGTGGTGGAAGGCTGCTCGTGGGGTGGTATTTTTTAAATTCTAAAAAAATTATTTTCAAAAACACACAAGACATCAGTTTTTTACTGGAGGCACAAAGGAGTAAATCTTCAATGGTCCTCGCAGGCCTCCAACGTTCCAATATTGGTGACAATATATTGCTATCATGGAATATTGGAAGCCTTTGAGGGCAATTGGAAACTTCTCAGAACAGTCTACCATATACTCTTGAGCTTTCCTTCTCATCTTTCTCACTGCTATGCCATGGTAGAAGCTGTTATTGGCTTTATATAGAGATAATTGTCCTCTATTTTCGCTAGAAAAAGCAGATCGAATCCCACTTACAAAGTGATCACCATCATAAAATAATTCTATGGATTGTTGTGCTTGAGAATAATCAAAGTTCAGGCATTGCAAAACTAGACTAATTCTTAGCTCACTGTTCATAGTCCACCAAAAGAGAGTTTGTAAGCGCTCTTAATTTTATAGGGTTAGTGATGCGGGGTAGCGTGAATAAAAAAGGAGATTAAACAACAGAAGGTATAACTTGTTGATCATCGTAATAATACCAAATTAAAGTCTTCTTGATTCTGTAAAATACCAAGGTAATTGGAAAGAAAAGAGAACTCATCTCTAAGTTTTTATTTAGAGTAATGCTATTGAGACTTAATTTGCTGATCTAATGATGTGGTTTCATTAGAACCATTGAATTAACAACAAATTTTAATGGAGTCCACAATCAATCCAAAGACCATAGTAAATTTAAGTTAGTAAATTAAGTTTCAATAGCATTATTCATTTATTTAAATCAAAACCAAAAATGTTGAATTGGTTTTCAAGATCATATAAATAAGAAAAGTGCACTCAACGTTATTTTTTGGCTTAAAAACGACGGGTTAAAGGCTTCAATCTTGCTTAGATTACCTAGAGTTTTCTGGAATTGGATCTTTTGAAATTTTTTGACATTGTCGTACACAATCTGCCCTAATTAGCGCCTAATCAACGCTATTTTCGATGATCTTGATCTGCTATACGTGCCGCATTAGTTAGCATTTATTTTGACACAAAAAAATGTAGCTTAATCTTTTGGGAATATTTAGCATGGAGAATTCAACCTTTAGTGGACACTAAATACCTTTTTCTAATAGAAAACGGATCACACACAATACACGAGCACGTATATGGAAACCACTACGACCTATTATGCAATCCATTGTGCTGGAATCCATAGACTGACTTAATATAAGTGTACTATATAAAGTTTTTGATTCATTGTACATATAATAATGTCATGATGCCAGGGACTGCNGACTTAATATAAGTGTATAATATAAAGTTTTTGATTCATTGTACATATAATAATGTCATGATGCCAGGGACTGCACATTGTAATGGTCTGGACCACGTCCAGAAGAGCCTAGCTAAAACACCCATATTTTCTGCAAAGAACTGGCTAAATCTTCCAAATACTGCTTGACTAATCAATCTGATACTATGCTAAAAAGTTTAGTTTTAGTGATGCTTGTTCTTTGGCCATGTTTCAACAGTAAAACATGTCAATGGCTAAGAGGTTTTCCAATGGTTTGGGACTCTTGTATCATTGAAAACTCCAAATGGAACCATAAGAGGAGAGTGTCTGTAAGTTGACTTTGCAACCAATATGAACATGTCGTACAAAAGAATAATGCAACAAAAGGGTCACAAATTCTTTACTTAAAGTTGAGATATAAAGTTAGTGATCTTCCTTTACACATTTGAATAATTTTAATTGGGTTCCACATAGTTGTTCTTATTCGGTTTATATATGCATGGTGTATGACTTATAGGACCTTGCAATATGGACAAATAAAACCACTTAGTATAACAATTTTGATTACCAACTTTTACCTAATGCAGCTCACAAGACACACAATTAACCTAAAGTTTGCAACCTGAAGAGCGACCTCAACTGACCGAACCAACGTCTTATTAAACATACTTTTTTTTTGTTTTAGCGGACAGTCGTATATGATACCCGACAGTTTGCACCCATTTGCGGCGAAGGCCTAGTCAATCGTATACGGTCATCAAAATTGGAGTTGCTAACACCTATTTTGAGTTGTCTCGTCCTTAGAGTCTANACGACACACAATTAACCTAAAGTTTGCAACCTGAAGAGTGACCTCAACTGACCGAACCAACGTCTTATTAAACATACCTTTGTTTTGTTTTAGCAGACAGTCATACATGATACCCGACAGTTTGCACCCATTTGCGGCGAAGGCCTAGTCAATTGTATACGATCATCAAAATTGGAGTTGCTAACACCTATTTTGAGTTGTCTCGTCCTTAGAGTCTAGCTAGATCTTCATTTTATGAAAAATATGTCTGCTTATTGTTCAAGTGGGCTGCGAGCAAAGATAATAAACCCCGAGCGGGATCAGAGGGAGGGCACACTAAAAAATTTGAAGTTCTTAATTTGCTTGAATACCACAAAAAAGATGTCTTTTATGTGAAAAAAAACTATGCCTTTTACAATAAACATGTTGGCAATCCATGCCCATGGGTCTTATTATCTTATTATTTTGGTAGCNCCCGAGCGGGATCAGAGGGAGGGCACACTAAAAAATTTGAAGTTCTTAATTTGCTTGAATACCCAAAAAAAGATAACTTTTATGTGAAAAGAAAACTATGCCTTTTACGATAAACATGTTGGCAATCCATGCCCATGGGTCTTATTATCTTATTATTTTGGTAGCAGCTTCCTGTTTGTAAAGATTATCATGTGCAAGTCGAATATCTTTGGACATATTCATAGAATACCCAATAAAAGACACGATAAATGAAGAAAAGTGATTAGATACATATTAATAGTAATGCGAGACNGCAGCTTCCTGTTTGTAAAGATTATCATGTGCAAGTCGAATATCTTTGGACATATTCATAGAATACCCAATAAAAGACACGATAAATGAAGAAAAGTGATTAGATACATATTAATAGTAATGCGAGACGAGAGGTAGATATAGACCGATATTAACTTGGAACAAGAAAATAGAAAAGAATATTATAACTTACAGATCTACGAAAATTATTGCCCTTGATACCTTCCAAAAAAAGAGAAATTTGCCTTTGATAGAGTATAATGTATAAGAAAAATCATGTAACTGACCCACACAATTGAGATAAAGATTTTGTTGAGTTGAGTTGAATTATATGTGCGGGTTGAACATTAACAAGGGGATGGACTCTCAAGACATGGAGCATCCACCTTCTTGACCTCTGGAGTTGGGAAGTGGTGGTCAATATATATTCCACCCCTTTATATATTCTTCATGCATGTCAAAGTGAAGGCTATTTTTCTAGATATCTTCATAGAGCTACTATTTCCAAACACAAANTATATTCTTCATGCATGTCAAAGTGAAGGCTATTTTTCTAGATATCTTCATAGAGCTACTATTTCCAAACACAAAACCTTTTGAGTTATTTGATAATAAATCTTGCAGAATATCCGTCGAATGGAAAATAGGAACAATGTAGTTTGTGTCGAACTCTATTTTATGCATCCAAATGTCAAGTCGCATCGCATTGGATGCTATTAGGATTACGGGTTAATTATAGAAAACCCATTGTATTTAATAGTGCTTACACACCATCTCTCTATTNAGTTTGTGTCGAACTCTATTTTATGCATCCAAATGTCAAGTCGCATCGCATTGGATGCTATTAGGATTACGGGTTAATTATAGAAAACCCATTGTATTTAATAGTGCTTACACACCATCTCTCTATTCTTTAAACATTCGCACTAAATCTTCCTCAACTTGGATCAAAATGCAAATGTGACTTTAATTTGATGGTATGTGTGTTACATGCACTAACTAAAATAATGTATACTATGACAACTCTGCCCTTGTCCACATTTACCACAAAAAAGAGAAGAAGCAAATATTGAAGGGGAAATATGTGTAACTTACCCTAATTTTCATTAAAAGATCATGTACATACAAATTGTTAAAAGTGAAGATGATCCTTCTTCTCGGTTGAGTTGTGTTAAGTTTATGCAATCACTAATGTTTTTTTTTTTATTTGAGTTAAGTATTTATTTAACTCTTGAACAATACTTTTTGTGTCAATCAAGCTTTAGAACTTTAAATTTACTGTTAACTTAACGGATATTCTTACGTGCACATCACGTGGCCCCTAGATATAACCTAACCTCTAACTCGTGATGTGCATGTGAAGATTTTCATCAACGTTAATGACGAATTTGCATAGAATGACTACATTAAATTAGATTGCATAATTCAGAGACTAAATTGATACAAAATATAGGTCAAAAACTTGATTGACACAAAAATATATTTCAGGAACTAAATAGATCATTAATTTTTTTTTTATCAATTACTGTTTTAATAAAAAGAACGATGAGAGTTGAACCCGCAACGATAAAGCGGACCGTAGGCCCCAACCACTGGTTAAAAGGTGCTTCAAGTTTCAGTTCGTTTGGCGCCAAATTTTTAACTTCAAGTTGTTGCTTACAAAATCCCAACTCACCACTGTTAAATGTTGGTAACGATAACACCCAAATCCAATGCAGCACCTACCCTCCATTCTTAGACCCTCTAAACCCAAAACCCTAATCTTTCTCCTCCCAATCCCTAGCTCTCTCTTCCCCACCGGCTACCACAGCTTTTCACTCTCTCTCTTGGAAACCAACGGACACCCCAACCATTTCAAACAAATCCTTTCTCATGCCATCACTTCAGGCCTCTTCACAGACCCCTCTGTGTCCAGCAAACTCCTCCACCACTCTCTTTCTAGTTCCAATATTACTCTCGCCTTCTCTCACACACTCTTCTTCCAAATCCAAAACCCCAATACATTTGCCTGGGGTTTTATCCTGCGAGCCTACTCTCGTAGCTCGGTTCCAGAAGAAGCAATCGGTATATACAATCTGATGCGGCGAAAAAACATTGTCCCGGGTGATTATACTTTCCCTTTTGTCCTCAAAGCTAGTGGGCGACTATTTTGTCTGGTGAAAGGCCAAGAAATTCATTGTTTGAGTGTGAAATTGGGGCTTGAATTCGATGTCTTCGTGCAGAATGCGCTAATTTCAATGTATTTTCAATGTAGAGTTAATGAGTTTGCAAGAAAAGTTTTTGATTTGGTTCCAGGTTGGGTTCGGGATGTGGTAACTTGGAATAGTATGATTTCTGGGTATTTACACAATGATTCTTGCGAAAAAGCATTGAAGCTGTTTGGGGAATTGTTGGGTGATATCAATGTGAGCCCTGATGAGGTGACTTTGGTGAGTGCTCTAACGGCGTGTGCAAGGATTGGATTGCTTGATTTGGGAAGAAAAATGCACGGGTTAAGTGTGGTTAGTGCTTTTGTAGATGTGTTTTTGGGTTCCTCTTTGATTGATATGTACACTAAATGTGGGCGATTAGAGAATGCTCAAGAGGTGTTTGATAGAATTGCCGATAGAAATATTTATTGTTGGACTTCACTGATAGCTGGTTATGTGCAGTCGAATTTATTTAAGGAAGCAATAGAGTTGTTTAGGGACATGCAAGTTGTTGGGGTTCAAGCAGATCCTGCTACGGTTGCTTGCGTTGTTACTGCATGTGGGCATTTGGGAGCATTGGATCATGGTAGGTGGGTGCATGGCTATAGTGAAAGGAATGGCATCGAGCTGAACCTTACAGTAAAAAGTGCTTTGATTGACATGTATTCTAAATGTGGGGATATTGAAAAGGCTCTCGAAATTTTTCATGGGTTGATGAGTAGAGATGTTTATGCGTGGAGTGTGATGATTTCTGGGCTTGCTATGAATGGGCAGTCTGACAAAGCATTACAATTGTTTTCACAAATGGAAACCTCTGGCAATGTTATGCCAAATGAAGTCACCTTTCTCGGGGTCCTATCTGCCTGCAGTCATGGAGGATTGGTGGATGAGGGATTTTACTATTTGGAAGCAATGGCGAAACACTATAATCTTACCCCTCACATTGAACACTATGGGTGTATGGTTGATCTCCTTGGTCGTGCGAACCTTTTGGTTGAGGCTGAGAAGTTTATAAGGTCACTGCCCATTGAACCTGACGTTAGAATGTGGATGTCCCTGCTTTTTGCTTGTAGAAGCCATGGGAATTTAGAAATGGCAGAATTTGTTGCTAACAAAATTGAAGAATCAGAACGGGAAAGGGGTGGGGCACATGTTCTATTGTCCAATATTTATGCTTCTGCCTCAAGGTGGAGCGATGCGAAGAGGGTACGAACAAGTATGACTGTTCAGGGTGTCCAAAAGCAGCCTGGTTGCTCTTTTATTGAAGTAGATGGCATGGTTCACGAATTCTTGGTTTCTGACAATTCTTATTGTCAGATAGATGCCATGTGTGAGGCGATTTTAGGAATAAATAGAATCCTTCGATCTGAAGTATTCGACCCTGATATATTCAATCACATTGATTTGATTTGAACTATGGCTAATTTGGCACAAACTGTTGAACTCTGAACAGAACGATGTGACAGTATTATTTGCTGCTGTTAATATCACATCAATTTTTTTCTTATAGGTAGATCAAACTGGAACATCATCTTCCAAAGAAAGTTTATGATCAGCAAACTGGAAAAGGATCCCAGAGGTCTATAATTCAAAGATATGTCAATTGGAAGCCCTATATCAGGGACAAGAGGTGAAGTTTGATAGCAGCGTGGATGCCGAGAATGAGGCAAATATGGCCAGCATCACACTGATAAGTTACCGGCATGGGTGGAGTTTCTGACGTCGAATGATAGCATATGCTGCCAACTCTCTTAACTGTTGCATGTCAAGGACAACCCAGGCCAGTTTCCAAGTACACTGCGTCATTGTTTCCTCTGAAGTTGGAGTGGTTTCCCAAAGCAATCACAATCTTCCTGATTCCTTCACACCATCATTCACTTCCATCTGCAGATAATACTTACAGGTACACGTTCACTTCCTTTGTTATTTAGTACTTGTCATTTATCAGAAAATTTCATGCTCCACTCTCTAGATTCTAGACAATAACTGGGAACAGGATTTTAGAATTGCAGTCAAAAGGCTCAACAAATAACTATGGGGAATACGCATCCATGTTGGTCTTCGGCACATCCACCACTGAATTACTACTAGGTACGTTCTGCAGACTGCTGAGCTTCACCTTTCACCCAACACCACGCGATTTCATTCCTAAGCTTTGCCTTCCTCAACTAACATGTTTTAGCTTAATATTTGCTTTCTGAGCTAACACGTTTTAGGGTGCCAAATTGAAAATGATAGGAGAAATAGATAAATCACCAGCTCATCTTTAAGCATACACAAATCTTTTAGGTACCAAGGCAACATAAAAATTCAAATGCAGAATCTCTTGTGCTTATGTTAAATCCACCCCGCCATACTAATATTGCTCACAGAAGACATCCTATCTCAGAAGGACACACCCAGTGTACTGGACCCCAAATTCCAACACGTTATACATGGTTTAGCCAGATAAACACTTGTCATCACTACATATCCAACCCCATTTTGGAACCTTATCTCAAAGTTCAACTTTTCGCAACGAAACAGAGAAATACATAAAAACCATCTTGATTCCTATGGTTTAGTGACAATCAACAATCCCAATACTTAACATATGATCAGTTTAATCACTATAATCTTCTATTTACATACATGGAAGAGTAAGATCTCTGTCATGGGTGGTAGGTAGTACACCACATTATGATCAAACAAACAGAAGCCGTCCTTAAGTTGTATGTATTAGTTTAGCTTCGGATCAACTCCAACTGATTTCAATGTCTCTGCCCGCGGCTGTAGTCTGCAATGACAAGTAGGAGAACCAACATCAGCTAAACAGATACCACAATGATACACTACAAAAAAGATAATTATTCTATGTATACACTTCATATTGCACTTCTACTCAACTGAAAGAGGAGTTCTTAATACACCAGTTATGGTGTCAACAAGTCAAATGGGATAAAACAATTAGGCTGCCTTTCTCAACTTCTGACCCATTGACATAGTGTAATTCCGACCAGGTTAGGGGGACATTATGATTTTTTTTATTGTATAACATTCATATTCACACATCTTAACTTGGTAATAGTTGAAGTTTGTAACGATAAGAGTTAACTAACACAGTCCCTAAACTATTCTATGTGTCACTAAAGCAAACCGAACTACGTTTTGTGTTAAGTGACCCTTTACCTCTACAATCTGTTTCAATGTGACAATTCCTTTCAATTTGTTGTTAACTTTAATGGAAAGCCTCACGTAATGTGCACGTGAATGGTCTTAATTAACACTATCTCTAACTCATGTTAGAGATTTTCCATCAAATTTAACAGTAAAGACTGCATTAAAACAGATTGTATAGTTGAAGGACTAAATTGATACAAAAAAACAATTCAGGGACCTAAGTAACATGAATGGAATAGTTTATGAATCATGTTGGTAGTTAACTCTAATGATAATCACAACAATAATTTAAAGTCAATCTAGTTCATTGGTCTAATATAATGATCAACAATTGACCTAAGTAATACTAATACATTTATGGATACGTTTGACAATCAACCTATGTTGTATTGGGTTTGTATTGGTTGTAGGTGTGTGGAGCACATTAATGCTATATCTCTTTAAGTTTTTGTTGTCTACTCAATAAATTAAGAATAATATCACACTGAAAAAAAAAAAAAAAAAATATAGATCAAATGATGTGACATTATCATAATGATATTGTTGGTCCCACTTTTGTATTTGAAATTCAAAATTTCATAATTATGATAATTCCACATCATTTAATTTATAATTGAGGTCTCTTTTTTTGGTTAATCTAACATTAATGTTTAATTAATGGGTCTAACGTATCGATTATTTCATCACCCAAATCTAAGGCTTAATTCAAATCTACTAATCCTGTCTAGAATTGTCGAGCTTCAATTAACTCGTTCTTACACTATTTTACACAGCATGACCAAAATCAGGGCCGCCCCTAGGTAACTTAAATGTTTGTGTAAGGGTAACCCCCAAAAAGGCCCCAAATAATATTATGGTATTTGAGATTTAATGTTATATATTGTCTTAACCTTAAGCGCTTTTTAAAACATGATGAATTTTTCGATGTTGGTCGATTAGATTTATTTTCAAAATTAAAAGTCTAAAGAAAAGTTTTACAAATAGATTGCAACACTCTAATAGAAGCATAAGTTATGTCAAAAGACTAGATTATTTTTCAAATGAATGTATTACTTATAGAATAATATTGACAATATCCATAACATTTACTTCTGTTTATTAAAATCTTACTTATGATCCATTATATCACAATAAAGATTTATTTTATTCATTGAAAAGATATATTAATGAAACTTGAATGTAAAAATTTAATCACTAATCTTGTGTCATAAAAAGCGAGAATAATAATTTTGAAATAAAATATTAACCATATAATATATTTATAATAAATTGTAAAAGGTCCCATTTAAAGCTTTTGCAGTCCCATTTACTTCGAGCCCGGCCCTGACCAAAATTACCTTGCAAAGACATCTCCACGGATGGGATCAGACATGACTTGTTGACGATTGGATTCCTGTATATGAGCCACCTTTCGGAAGAAAGATTTGTTGATGAACTTTGTACTCTCATCCACCACATGCTCAGGCTCCACCACCTCTGGCAGAGTCTCTCTCCTCGACTTTTTCACGAACACGTTCGGGGCGTACTTCACTTGCAACAATCCTGTATAAATCCCGAAACTCATCGAAGTGACTATCATCCCCAGCGCCACATACACCGGCACAAGGTCTCCCTTCGAACGCCTGTTACACCATCAACAACTTCCTCCTTATTAATCACATCATGTGGTATTACTAAACTTACTCTTTAATTAGATTCTTAATAATTTTTGAGATGCAAATTACCAGATAGAGACTTTTTATACATGAACCCAAAAATAACATACTATGCCAATGCATCCACAAATAGTTATAAACGTATTAATTGTCCAATTCAAATAATTTAACTTTAATAAATTACACTTGTTTAATTTATATTATATGCACAAAATATTTTCATTTTCTTTTTTTGGACCAAATATTGTAGGAATCTTCATGGATATTTTCTTGGTTTTATTAAACATAAAAAAAATTGATTTTTTAAAGGGGTAATCTCATGTTGAGAATGCAAAATAAATTTTTTGAAATATTTCATGGTGCAAAAAATAATACAATAAATCTTATTTGATCATATGCGTTAATCTGAATATTTATATAATAAGATAGTTAAATTTTTAAACTTGTGGAATATATTTCCCTCCAAATTTCATATATCAACACTCTCTCTCAAAATGTCACAAACTCAACATACACTCTACAACACACACGTGCATTACAAACACACTCCAACTGCAGAAAAATTTTAATAAATAATGGTACATGAACTTAAAAAAATATATTTAAAAATTAAATTTGATATTTATAACCATTGATTTCACTATAAGTCCTAGTATTTATTGAAACTTACTATCTATTCAACGGTTAAGATTATCAAGTCTAATTTTTTAAATTAAAGCTAACATTACTCAATTCTAATAGTATCATGGCTCGGTGTACAATAACTAAAATGACTAGTAATGCAATAAAAAAGGTAGCACAACAGAGTATGGATTGACAAGACAGTAGCTGAAGTATTTGTCCTTACCGTGGCAGCTTAGCGTCTTGAGATGGTCCAACATCGGGTGCCATAGGGATAGGGGCGGCATAGGCGGCCTTGGTGTTGGGCGGAGTTGAAGTAGTAAACGTATAGCTTCCTCTCAGGCGACTCACCATGGATTTTAAATAATTCTGCAACATTCACGGTTATCAAAAGAGTCATCACAATTATATGCTTTCAAGAAAACGGAAATAATGACATAAATCTGTAAACTCACACTTCAATCGAATTTTTTAACGAATATTCTAATTTTGATGTAAATAGTCAGTCATTGATCAAATCGAAAAAAAAAAATTATGACATGAGAAGCTAGCAATTCTGACTTACCGGAGTCCTGAAAGCCATATTGAGAGAGAGAGAGAGAGAGATCAAAGAGTGTGAGTGTGAGTGCGAGTGCGAGTGCAAAGCAATGAAAGAGAAGATTGGATGCGATATTCTTAGCTTGTTTGGTTTGTTGATGGTTGAAGGATCATACAAGTATATATATACATCGTATTAACAGGGAAGAGAGGGTTCGAGAGACACCTGGTTAGGATGCAAAAGTAGAGACACCTGTCATAAAGCTAATTGATACACCAAATTCGCTATGGATGCCTCTTGAAGCAATACACACGTCAACTCTCACAAATTACATATACCTTTTGGAGTAAATTTTTTTAAGAATAATTTTTAGGAGTTATCTATTGGTTAAGTCTAATTCTTTTAAGTTTAATATTTTTTACACTTCTTAAAAATTAATCAAACTTATTTTTCGGGGAATATATTCTTAAACTATCAAGAAATATGTTTTTAAACTAGTTATGGTCAGTTCAGAGCTTGAGGGAATAGTTAATCTCATGTTCGATATTTTTCACACCCCTTAAAGGTTAACAATCATTGTTCTTTAAGGAACATGTTCTTAAACTAATTTAAATTATGGTGACTGGCTCAGAGGTTGAGGAAATAATCGACGAAAGCCTAAACACCTAGTAACAAAAAAAAAAAAAAAATTCCTGAATAATAGCCTGTAATATCTAAACAATTAGTGTTTTTAAAATCCAACTTTAAAAGGTCTAACTGTACCTTTAAAAATTGCCATCAATCATAATATTTTATAATTGATCACATATTTTAAGTTATATACAAACTATTTATATCTATTAACAAACTATTTGCAGTGCATATCCTAAGTTTTTTTTTTTTTTTTTGGAATTTAGAAACTCGAACTAGGAATTACTGGAATAAAAAAAATTAAAACTGCTCATTTACTGTGTTTTTGTCTGAAGTAATGCATAATAGTTTATAAATCATAAATCGTTAGACCTCTAAAACTCAACTGTTATGGCTCCTTCGAATTTTTATTTCTCGAATTATGAGTTTATTTATTTATCACTTATAATCCTGAATTTCAAACATAACCTCAAGGGAGAATCAAAATTTACACCACGAAACATTTAGAAATTTTTACTTTGAACTCTCAAATATTAGATTTTACACATTGTATCTTCAACATAATAAAAGTATTGCAATGCGGCTTATTGTTTATTTTCGTTGTTCATTTTGTCAATGTCAACATTGGCATAACGAGCAATGAAAGTTAATGGTAAGACCACATTGCAATATTTTTAATACATTAAAAGTATAATAAAAAATGTAAAATTTAAAGTTATAAAATTAGATTTTTAAATCTTTCGAGGTGAAAAAAAACAATTCGACCTAATATATATATATATATATATATATATATATATATAGAGTCCAATCCATGGATCAACTTCGCCTTAGAGTCTTAAGACTCTTAAATTAATTCACTGTCTTCATGAGAAAGTGCATCACTCAGAGTTGATTTAGGTTACATCTTGGAGCTGAAGATTCCCTCCCTAAATTATATTTTTTCCTTAATTGGCCTTCTCCAGTTAAATTCAAACATGTAGCCTACATAAAAACTTTCAACTTTTTAATAACTACTTCACATTTAAATTTTGGGTAAATTACACAGACACCCCCCAACATTTTAGTTTATTGCATGAACACCCCCTAACATTTCACAAATGACACTCGGACCCAAAAGACATTATAAATGAAACGTTGCTAACAAAAAGTGCAAAATGACAATCTTACCCTACTTTTGTTAACACAAAAAAAAAACTGATAATTCAGTTCAAAATCAAAATAATTGTAATAACCTTGTAAAATATCTTTGTGCTGAAACCTAAACACCATTCGTCATATCTAGAGAGAAGGCATGAGAGAGAAACCAAATCGTCTTTGACAAAAGATAGAAACAATTCAACCCCAAATTGTCTTTGACAGATCCATGTATCAATTCTGTAAAACCCGATAAAAAAAATATATATATATATTATTAATCCTAATAAAAATAAAAGGGTAAAATAATAATTAATTGTTAAATTATGGGTCAAAAACGTAAATAATAAAAAAAATAATATANAAAAAAAAATATATATATTATTAATCCTAATAAAAATAAAAGGGTAAAATAATAATTAATTGTTAAATTATGGGTCAAAAACGTAAATAATAAAAAAAATAATATATATATATTTATATAAGTGGAAGACAAAGTCTTCCACTTTTTGTGTCTTCTACAGCCGGCGAGAAAGAGTGAGTGAGAAAAAAAAAAAAGAGAGTTTTTATTTTTTATTTTTTTTTTTTTCTCTTTTCTTCCTTCTCAGATCTAGGAAAATTTAACCGTTTAATCGTTTCGGGCCAAGAACTAAAGTTGCTCTACTCAGCGAGAGCTACGCAACCACACCAAAGATCGTATTTTTCTTCGAAGGTATCTCAAAGCCGATAATCCATACCTAAAACTTAGGAAGCTAAATTTGGGCTTCCTTGGCGTTCTTGTAAGTGGTCTCACACTACGAGAGGTAGGGTTTCCCCTATTTAGATTTAATTTCAACTTAAAATGTGACATATGGAATGAGTAGATTATGAGTGTATATCACATGTTAGGTCTTGACTAGTGGGTCAAATATAGAATTTATAATTAATCTTGTGATTAATAAAATTCTATTGTGATTAACTTGGT